TTTCCTGGTCCTAATTAATTAAACAATACGCCAACAAGAAGCGTGGAGGTGGAGGTGCGTAGATTTACATACTACTATTCTAGACACTAGATTGAAGTGAGTGGTCAGGTTCACGGCCCGTCCACTGTACCCCCAGGTGCCCTTTGGACAGGAGACTTGCTTGGCCCCAGAGACAGTCTATACCCTATGGAAAAAGAGAAAAATTTCTTGTCCCTCACAGTAATCTGCCTTCCAGCCCGTAGACCGTCACTGTACTGATTGAGCGCATACATATCCTTACATGTGATCTAATCTGCTGAAGGGAAGAACCAATCCAACTGTCATAATATCGCGTTCTTTGAATAAGCCTTAATCCTTGTTCAGCTCACAGTAAAATGGCGACATAATTTATCATTAACTACTAGTTTATGTGAGGCGCCGCTTGCTCTTCTCACGGGTCAATTTGTGTTCCATGATTGCACTATAATTATGCAAGCTCTATTGGAAAGACGCTGACAGAAAATTAGCGTAGTCTATGTAAAGCTAATATCCGGACATTCTTCATTTGTTGTGAACATAAGGCATCGTAGTATATTATTTAGGGTAAAATTTAATTTTTGTGTGTTTTAACTACGACAGTGATCGCCTCCGTGGTATAGTGGTCAGAGATCCGCGTTCGATTCCCGGCGCTACCAGATTTTCTGAGAAGTAGTGGGTCTGGAACTGGGTCCACTCAGCCTCGTGAGGGTAATTGAGGAGTTACTTGAATGAAAAAATAGCGGCTCCGGTCTAGAAAACCGAGATTAATGGACGTGCTACTCCGTTGCGCTGACTATGCGAATCCTCTATCCGCTAAAGTTGTCACTAACTTCGCCGACAAGCTGCGGTCGCTCTGTTGGTATAGTTCGCTTGCAGACTAAAGGCCATGGAGTTCAGTTATAAGGAAGAGACGATAAATGCATTAAGCATTCGAGTTCCAAATTCTGAAGGCACAAATCTTTGTGGGAATCCGTTGTTATAGATGCGAGGACTATATTAACATAGATTTTAAGAAACACATTCTGAGGTTATGGCTTGTATCTATTTGGATCAGGATAGAATCGAGCAGCGAAAGGTAGCATATGATATAATACGGTAAAGAACCTTTGATTTCCATAAACACGGCGTATCTTTGACGAGCTATCAGCTTGTCAAGGAGGACCTTACTCCATAGAATTAGTTACCATTTATTTATAAGCGTCTAATTTCTCTGCACTTTTCTTAATCTTAAGTTGCATGTTAACTTCAGAGCGATGAAGAGAAGGCGTCTCGGGCTGTCAGTCAAAAACACCATATCTTTGCACCTATATATTAGGAGGTAGTCAATATTTATGGCTCTACAGCCTCCATATAGCAAGTATACGTAGCCATTCGAGCTTCAAGAAGATGACTCCATTTCGGGAATTATGAATACTGCTGCCACCATGCTGCATGAGTAGTAAACTTTTAAGCTCAAAATTCTCTTGAGAGCCTTTGCCTTTGCTGCAGCATTGGGGGGGGGGAGAGAAAAGTGAGAAGCAGAGAGGCAGGGGAATAGTGGAATGGGGTGAGGGATGTTTCTTGCATGAAAATCCTTAACTCTACGCAAATGTCCTTGTACGAGATTTATGTGTAATATTTTGTTTGTATTATGATTGGCGCAGGCAGAAATAAATTTTGTGAAAAGAAAATCTGAGATGGACAAAGGGCAGCTATTTTTCTGTAGTATTTGATAAGTTACTATGAGTATTGCTGATACATATGCAATGTGGCTAATGGTTTGTTTAGTGATCTCGAATTTTCTAGGTTACACAGAGTCGGATAAGAAATGATAAGACAATTATCTTTCACGAGATAATAAGGATATGAAAGAGAAATTGTTAATGAATTTTTAAGGCATTGTTCATTATTTTCACGTGAAAATGCGTTGCAAATATCATTTCGATAACAGACATTATCGATACTAAAATCTGCTAGTAGTTACTATAGGATTCTGACGATGGTGTATAACACACTGATATACTGGGTTTTTGGACTTTATCAATCGTCCTGGTTTTTAAGATAACTAATAAAAACACGACGTTTCGGAAACTGGATCTGTTTCCGTCCTCAGGTGAAGGAAAACACCTATTCTGTTGGGTCCGTTAGAAAGAGCTAGCATCAATCACTGGTCCAGTGGTCCGAAACGTCGTGTTTTTATTAGTTATCTTAAAAACCAGGACGATGGATAAAGTCCAAAAACCCAATATCTCAGTGGACTAAAATCTGCTGTTAAATATTCTGCGGAAAAGGACAGACTGACTGACAAACTAACGCCAAAATAAAAAGAATTTGAGTTATTCTTGAGGATGTACGTTTGCGTGAAGGTCTTTAACTACTCGAACTTTCAGCTATAAATATAAAGCATTAAATGAAACGTAAGAGCGTCAGCATCACGAGTAGAAGTAAAGTAAATCTGCATGAATTTAGAACATAACCTTTTGATAGGATTGGCATAATCAAGTCAGGAACGTCTTTCCGACGTGACGTTACAGGCAATGTTATACGAAAATTTTGCTGCATCGATCAGTAGTAGATGTATATTCTTCTTCCTCTATTTTCACGAACCCTCGCAGAGTTAAGATCGGTGACAAGTGGAAATCCCATTTCTAAGTTTCATCACTCATTATTTCAGCTCCATGTTTCTCCTCTTTTCCTGCTGTCTGTCAATTTCTCCGTCTCTCCTTTACATCATTCACAAAGCTGAAATTAACCCTTCTCCGATGCATGACATCCATTTAAATACGGGCACATAGGGCTGATGTGACATTTCTACTGTAGATTTGAGTTTAGAAGATGTGCTTACAGCTTGTCAGTTTAGTGTAGACATTTCCACGTTTCCTGACGGTTTTGAAGGAGTCTCGTCCGAGACGGGGCGAGAAGGGATCACCGTCTGTCTGCCGGAACTTTGCAACGTCAAGTCTTTGTCATTAGCCAAGAAGCTTAGAGATCATGGCTTGAGAGCACAGTCGCTCTAGCAGTCAAAAGGAGCAGCACGAAGGAATTGAGATTTCAGGTTCTCACAGTGGTAAATATAAATGTGACGCCGTGTAGTCTGCTAAGAATATGTCGATGATTCAGAGGAGCGTAAAGTCTTCATCTTTGAAGTTTGAAAAGTTAATTAAGCAATAAGCCAGATGCTTATCGAAACGTCTGCAAGGCTATACGGCGTAATACCTCAAAAGAGAATACCCTTTAGCCCGATGAGTGTTTTAAACAGTAAAACAACTGATACCTCTTTGGAGAGAAATTCGATACCAATTTTTCAACTTCAACAATTGCTCTAACAGAGAGGTAACAATACAAATTCAATACAATATATCTATCTATGGCAGGGCAGTCCTTTTGTTGGGCCCTGACCGCTTTTTCATGTTTTTAATCCTCTACACAAACGATAGGACTCCTTGGAAAGGAAATCAGCCTGTCACAAGGTCACTACCTACACACAGAATAACAAACATAGAATAAACGCACACAAACATTCATTCTTCCAGTGGGTTTTGAAAACACGATCCCAGCGTTCGAGATAGTGAAGACAGTTCATGCCTTAGACCGCGCGGCCACTGTGATCGGCACAAATTCAACACTACATTGCTAAAAAGAACTAATTTACAGCAAAGCACTAGAAAGGCACTTAAAATATAAGAAAAACATATAACAAACCAGAGAAAACAATAGGGTAATTCGTATTTTAATACGTTCAGACAACAAGTGAATATAGGGAGGAAGAAATGGTACGAACATACTTCAGAACCAGTTTAAACGAGTTAGGATCATAAAGTCACTGTATTCTGCAAAGAAATATATTATAACTAACAAAATCATCCCATACAATACCCAACGTCAGACTCCTAAAGAGAAGAGGGTCAAGTTTACTGATTGTTGTTTCTATACGAAACAATGAATTGTACATGTAAATGAAAACTACCGAAACGGAATAATGCACTGGCTGAAGTACAGGACAGGTGGAATGTGTAAGTGATAGCATATAGATAATAACAACAAATACTACTGGAAGCATTTTATGATATCTTCAGAAATATATAAAAGTTGTCCTTGGCAAACAGATCCAGTTTCCGAAACGTCGTGTCCCCTGTTACCTAGAATTCCGGACGACGGAAAAAGTGCAAAACCCCAGTAAGTCTATGTGCCATCCTCCATCGTCAGAACCCTTTAGAATCTACGGCACATCTTGCAGGACAGATCCAGGCATATGAAGAAACACAATTCCCGGCTATTGAATTTGATGGCTGTGTAGAGCACATGCTTAGCAGCAGGTGTAGGAAAACAGAATAAAATGAAGATCTTTGTTTCCTTCGAGGTTTATAGAGAATATGCAATTCACGCTAAAAGAAATATGAATTATTTATTAGTTCAATGCCTTAACTTAGAGTCTTGTAACTTTAAATGAAAGATATTGCACTTTAAAGCATGCGAAGTCTACGACTGGCACAGAGATAAGAATGAATTAACAGAATGGAGAAGAGATGAGATTGGTCCATTTTAGTAATTCCAGATTTCATCCAGAAAGCCTGAATACATGGGACCTGGGATTCATTGCCGGCTATATACCGGCCTGGGCAACTAATTCATAATATCACACCTGTGGTGGAAAACATTTTTGCTTGTTTACTTCTATGAAGGGTATTTCGAATAGCAGGTGACCTAGTTCAAGGGATAATTCCAAAGCGGCCATTTCACAGCAGAACCCACTGAAGTCGACGAGTTATTCTCGCCTGAGTCTTAATATTCTTCAAGACGAAGTGAATTACACTGCATACTGGAAGAAGGAGCCCAGGTGTATATTCTGTTTATGAAATAACACGTCAATAATGTGTGGAATATGTTTTTGAAATATGATTTCAAGCTTCGTTGCCTCCACGTTTGTGATGATTTCTCTTCTGCATTTGAATGAGATTTAACAATAATATTGAATACTGATTGCAACGGTTAATTTCTTTCAGATCCTGTGTAATCCTTTGGCTGTACTGGAATGGGATTTGCAGTGGCATTGATTATCGGATGCAATATTTGGTAAGTTTCCAATTCTCGTATTTCAAGTATACTTTCATGCGATATGTGTTATTGTGAAAGTTTTGGAGCAGTAAAGTTCAGTACTTCAGAACCAGGAATGTTGGAGTGAAATTCTGTATAGGTTTCATTAGAATTGCCTTAGTAAAATTCAGTTAGAGAAACTAAGTTCAAACATTTCAACACACATGAATTCATCTAAATGTGTGTTTGCACTCTGAACAGCTTCTGTCGATGTTGGCCTTTCCACTATACGAGTATATTAAGAACAGACACAAAAGTACACCCAAAATATGAAACACATCTTGATTAAATTCTGTACCAAGTATGCTCGTCACATTGTAATCGATAATTTTTTGTGCCATTTCTATTATTATTGTTATTATTATTATTATTATTATTATATGCTTTGCTGTTTGAAACTGAAAATGACTTTCCTTAGTTCTATGCCAAATATATAGTACTGCAGATAGGTTAATGTGTGTAATTAAGAAAAGCAAAGAATTTAGCTTCTTTTTGCTACAGATTAGTGAAAATATTTTAAAATTTTCTCTTGCTTTATAGTTTCAAGGGATAAAAAATGAATAAAATGTCTTATGCGACAAGATGAGCTCAGCTTCCATCCCACTTCTGCTAGATTCATGCTTGGCTCAGTATTTGACCCTGAAGATGAAGGCAGTATATTCCTACGAAACGTTGGGCTATCTCCAAAGGACACAACATTACAGCCCAGAAGTCCGTGTTCTTTATAAAGCAGAATTTACGAAGCATTCCTCCTCCATTGGAAGCAAACAGACTTTCCTTAGACTCGGTTATTTTGCATGGCACGGAAGGACTTTTATGGGTCATAAATTTGAAGAACCTTAGAAAAACATATCAAGCGGACATTTCTGAAAAATATTTGATATATATATAAAGTCTAAACAGTGTTTGCCTGTAGGTCCTTCAGTCGTTTCCATGAAAATCAAATGCCTAACTAACATCATATGTTTGCGATAGTAACATGAAATGGCAACAGAAATTTATTATTCTATAGTTATTGAGTAGTGACCTTTTCCAAAAAGGAAAGCTACCACTGGACTATCATTATTACTTTTATTCTATCTCAATTTCCTTTCCAAAAATTGTCGGGTCAATTCAGCGGAAGCTTGATTTCAAAGATCCGCTTAAAAGCACCTCCCCGGTGGGTTCTATCCAGATTCAGCTGTACTCCGTTCGTGTCCTCACACTCCCATTCTTCTAGGTGCATTTAATATTGTCTTCCGAACCAAGTTTAAGTCTCCAAAGTTGTATTTTCCTTTGAGTGTTTCGACTAAAGTTTGGTACGCTTTTCTCATTCCTCCATACTTCATCTATACGTATACGATATTCTTCCTATGGGAAACTAATTCATCACTGCACACTGCGTAATCCAGACACAGGTAGAGGTGAGTGGTCAGCTTCATTCCCCGTCCTCTTTAGTTCACGGAGAATGAACCCTCAATATCCATCGGAGAGGAGACTGGGTGGGCCCAGGGGCAGTCTAAACGCCATGAATGAGAACATCTCTTGTTCCTGGAGGAAATCGAACGGATATTCCTCGATTGTACAGTTTTAACCGATCTCCGTACCGACTGAGCTATCGAAGAGCCTGATTCATGTCAGGTCGTTCGTAAACCTATGTCCCATAAGAAGTTATGCCATTAACAATAGCTGAGTAACTAAGCGTAGGAACAAAGTCTATTTAACGTATAGCATTTCCTTTGTTGTATGGCGTTCTTATGTACTAGTATTTGCAAGTCGAGCATTCGTATGTCGAGGACCAACTGGTTTGAATTCTACGAACTTGCATCAGTATATATGTGAACACGGAAAAAGATGAACCATCATTCATACAATTTCATGACAATGTAGTATATAACAGGGACGTTCTTTCCCTTATTGGCCGGTTCACGCCTCTGCGCTTCACGGTAACCGGTGCACCGCCTGCTGCAAGGAGAATACGAATTCTGCCGTTGAATCAATAGGACTGTTGGCCAATAACATTCGGAATGAAGTGGTTACAATTCATTGATCACAGGAGGTGCTGAAAATCCTGTCCCTTTACATGTAGACATTCCTCGTACCGGCGGAAGAAGTTCTCATTTACACTCTGAAGTTGCTCTGTAGGAATACTTGCAATTTCCCTATTAATATTTTCTTTTAGTGCTTCCGTTCGGGGGTTACTGTTGTAAACTGTGCAGTTCAATCAACCCAAAAGAAAAAAAAATAGAATAATTAAGATATTGTGAACGTGTTGGCAAAATAACTGCTCATAACTATCCCCGAAGACATCCAGCGAAGTCTGCATAGACATACGTGCAGTGTGGGCACGGAATGACCGGTGGTCACCGGAAACTCCTCCGTTGTCACAGTTGTCGTATAGTTCTTAGATTATTTAATGACACTTTTCAAATCCAATTGCTATTCGTGGTCGGATGGGTTGAGAATATGGCTACGAAAGAGAGAGAAGGCAATAAATACGGTAACGTTGATTGACACCTGACCGTTAAACACCTCGCGACGGAATACACGCAAGACAAGAATGGGAGTGCGACTTTTTCTGTGCAGTCGGCGCCATGACCGTTGCTATGCGATCTCTCGGTAAACACGTTCCAACAATAGAGAGATTATTTATCTGTATGGTCGGTGCGAAGGCTTTATACGAGATTCCAGGAATAACCAAGGAGCATTGAAAAGGAAAGTCTCAACTCTGAGACAGTAAAATATGGTCGCGAGTGCCGAGGGACTCGGACCCGAGTAAGACTGCGCTGGCAAGGACCAGCAGCATATACAAAAGACAGACCCGTCCTCTCGTCACAGAAGGCGCCCCACAGAAACAAGACCGTAACTGTCAAACGGTAATAATTTATATCTGGTCATGATCCCCAAATGGGGCTCGACACCAAGACTTACTGTCTGACTGACCGTCGGTCGCAATGTGACTTTGACTTGACCAAGGAGTATAGTAGAATATTTGAGAGTGTTTAAGTGACAGCCACGGGAAGTTCGTCGTGTGAAGACTTAGCATGTGATTGGAAGACTTGAATTGTGTGTAATACTTGGGGTGATTTGAAGCGCTAGTTTCTGTGTTGAGATCCATTACTAAGAGAGGACTGGTGTGCGCGTAACAATGGATTATGAAGTGTATGTAAATCAGCGATAGCGCTGTAATTAAGTGTAATTAAGAGAGAGCGTGTAACCAAGCTGTGAATAAATCCAATCATCCGAAGTAGAACCCGTCATTTCGTCACTCGTACCCCCCTACACGTACACCCTTACGTACACCCTTTTTGCATTTTTAATATTCCATTGCATGTATCGATTTCAAAGGACAATCATACTCATCATCATTACACGATTTGAAAAATTCTCAGCTCTCTTGCAATAGATAAATTAATTAAGGATTTAGAAGGAGACGATCGTGGTATATTTACGGTTATAATCTTGAAATTCGCCGGAAAGCCTCGGGAAAACAAGAAATCTTCATTCAGGATGCGTAGTAGCCGAGCCGAGATTTGAATCTGGTACCTCGTGAATGAATATCTAGATCGTTACGGCTTCAGCAACTTGGTCAGTAAGACACAGCGCTTAAATATATGAGATGGATGGACACACATTCCTTTGAATTTGGAAAGGATGCTGTCAGAATGTTGCATTTAGTGGTTACACGGTCAATTCCGTAAGGATATTCCAAAGGCCGGCAACATTTGCTTTGTCGACTGAACCATGTCCTCAGGTCTGCTCTACTTGAGAAAGTGTTGTCCAATATTTCAGCTGAGGACAGTAGGCTACTGCTCCCTACTTTGTACCTACTTGAAAGAAAGCAAGGTCTCGACAGACTGTAGACTTACAAAATGCGGCGGTGACGGATGGCAGGGCATCGCGTTAACACACAGTGACCGCTTAGAGGTAGCTCCTCTGCTATCTGCCTCCCCAACAGACGGATATTGGTTGGAAGAACAGACAGATAGACGGGAGGATTAAGGGGGCTCCTGTAGGATAAGTCTTGGCGGAAGCGGGTGATTAAACACCATGTAACGTCACAGTAGAACCACATTTCCTCCCTTCAACAGTCCTGCTCGTCTCTGCGAATTAGAGCTTGCGGTCTGTCTCGGCAGTTACAACTCCATGATGATAGTGAAGTCCTGTAACCTTACTTCTGTAACCACGGGTCAAATTATGTTGAAGCGTACATTTTATTCGGTACCAAACCTGCAGGATTTTTGGCATGGTGGTGATATTAATTTTTAGGGATGGAATCCATATTCATACATCATTCGTAAAAAGAGAATGAACACCTGTCACCTGTAGACTAAAGTAGAGATAATTCTTGAAGAATTCTGTGTGTAAAATATGTCTAAGATTGTGAAGAAAAACAAAAGTAATTATAATCTTCTGAATCGGAAGTTTTTACAGATCTTTTAAGAATGATACTTTCTTTCGTTCTTATCTGAAGCGCACTTAAAAAATTCCTTTAATCACTGGAACACCTCAGAGAACAAACCAATGAAACCAGCCTATTCTTTTCCCTCCTCAGACTTCAAAATATGTAGGCTCTGTGTTGCTTATGTCTTAGCCTTTCATTTTTAAGATATAACTTGAAATTTACTGCAACATTATATTCTCAGCAGTTTCAAAAACTGTAATTTCCTTGTTATTCTATCTTTCTTTCATTCTCTAGTACATGGAGCTTCGTCTAACAACTTTAATTTATTTCTTAATTTATAATAGTTTCGCTGTTTCTTCCCTTAATGAAACGCCGGTATATAGATATTATTCGTCAAAATATATTTGTCACAATGTAATTATTTATTTTCAGTCTTCCTTCTTATTTCTGTTTCCGTCTGTAGCTTTCTGCTTCCTTATCTTCCAATTACTATTCCATACCTTCTCTCGTCTTCCTATTTTTATCAAAGCTTCTCTTAATTTTCTTTCCTTTTTTCACTTTATGCCTGAAACTTCAGTGACGTTATTCTTCTCGC